TTTCACCGTTCCTTTCACCGTTCCTTTCTCGAATTCATTCACTCGTCGCTACAAAGAGAAATTAGCAAAAAAAAAAGACGTCCTCCCGCGTTGACGTGTATCTCCGAATGAATTTCTCTAACAATTTTTTTAACCACGTGTCATGCATGAAGGGAAACTCGATGTTCCCCCGCGGAACGGAGAAAAAAAAAATAGAAAGACCCCCCGATCCAATCGGCGAGAGATAACAGGTTTATCGAGATATCGATCGGTTCCCTTCGTTCACTCACCGACACAATGTCCTCGACAATGAGAGAGAGCTGCCGCGTCGCTGATGGCGGGGGAGAGAGGGGGGGCGGATGGTAGAGGGACGGAAGAAAACGCGTATGTTGACTCTTTTGCTATATCTGATTCGTACTCACTGTGCTCGGATGATGCCGGTACCTCGTCGGGGGGCACCTGCGTCTTCTGTCGTCGGAGGAGGGGTATGCCGCCGCTCTTCTTCGGCGCCATCGCCGGGCACAGCGCCGGTTGCACCATGTTGATGCAGTCCGTGTGCGCGTTCGCCTTGCAGCCGCGACATCGGACACCCTGGCGGCTGTGGCCGCGCAGCACCTGGCCGCACGCGTCACACGGGGTGATCTTGCGATACGTGTACTCGCGCCAAGTGTGCCCACCCTCGGACTCGAGGCTCTTCCTGCGAAAGGTGGTGAGGTTCCCCTGTTCATAAGTTCCACTCGGTCTCGAAAGTCAACGTGCTCCCTCGCGAGCGTGCTATTATTACCGCTTGTCGTGCTCTTGCGGGAGGTGCGTCAAGTTAAATGATATAAGTAGGTGTCAATATCAGTATATCAATATAATAAGCCGAGATAAGATTTCAAACGAGAGGCTAAGATGACGACATTGCTCGGCGAATGGGATCTTAAGTGTCTTATAATACTTTTGGCGACAATCAGATAAATTTCGAACAACGGTTTCGGCGAGTGTAAAGGATAAACAATACAATGTAATATGTGAAGCTATAAGTTTCAAATAAGAGAACAAAGAATTAGAGAAGGAGAACGGATTCTGCTTGGTGGTCGATCTTAGGAATCTGATGACTTTTTCTTTTATTAAATTTATATAGTCGGAATTAATTGCTTATAACATGAACTACGTTATTTTTAACGTTACTTTTAACGACTTCCAATGCAGCAGCACGAAGCTATTTTAATAAGTCGATAATCAAATTTGAAATCGATTAATCCCTCTTTTTACCCTATAGGAAATTATATATAAATTTAATAAAAGAAAAATTATCAGATTCCTAGATCGAATTCGCCGAGCAGTTGCCTCCTCCATTATCTGTTCTGTTATTTAAAACTTAGCTTAGCATATTACATTGTAATGTTTATAATTTTTCATTTTTTTAAATTGAATTTACATCTATAATTTCGGAATAATACTTACATCGTGAACTACGTGCCGTTATTATAAACAGATTTCTAACGCAGCAGCTCAAAGCTAGGCTGCGTTCGGATTCCTCATGCCGGATGCTTTCTTTCTCTCTTTATCACTTTTGTATCTCTTTCACTCATTCACTTTTGTATCTCTTTCACTCCAATGCAGCAAGTTCACTCGAGTGGAGAATCGGAACGCAGCCCTGTATTTCTAAATCAATAATAAAATCTAGAAAATCGATTACATTTTTTTCTCCCTTTTTTCCTCCCTATCCTGAAATTTTTATTACGAAAAATGTCATCTCAGTTTGGATCACTTGCTAATAATAACAGCATGTATAATTCACAATATGAGCAATTGTTCCGAATTTGTAAATATAATAAATTTCAATTTAAAAAATAAAAAATTATAAAACACTTAAGATTCTGTCCGCTGAAAAATGCTATTATCCTATTATTGGAAAATACACATTTTACTCGAAAATTAAATTGGAAACACTGTTACGAAAATATGATGCATCTCTCTTGTTTTTATTAATTAGGTAACGAAATTTAAAATTGAAAAAAAAAAAAGCAATTTCAATGTGATTTATTAGTATGCAAAAATAAATAATAATAATAATGACAACAACAATAATAATAATAATAATAAAGGGAAATGAACGCTCGGATTGTTAAATATTTTATGATCGCCGTTTTAATATTTCAAGTAATATATCTATCTTGAAATGTGAAAGGTAAAATCAGAAATGTCAATTGTTCACAAACAGACTGAAACTTACCTGGACATGGCGACGACGGTGGAAACTGCGTGGTACATGGTTGCCTGCTTTCCTCTTTATTAGTCGAGCATTCGCAAAACAGTATCTACGGTTATTCAAAGTCCCTTTCGTCTAACGTCTATGGTTCCCCTAATTGGGAAACTTACAAAGCACACGGAAGTAAAAGCATATATTAACTCAAACATCTCGTCTCGAGAATTGACTTTGACAACAAACGTTCTATGTGTATGCGAAGGTGCAACAAGAAAAAAACTTTATTCGCTATATGCAGTTTGTTTTCCAAGATGACAGCAATGGCGTTTCCATTGCCAGAGGAATGCTTGACGAATGAACTGTTTGCGTAATGCAAACACAAAGCTTTCCTTGCGGAACTTTCGCATTTAATTCAGTTAAATACATCGATATTGAATAAGAGAACTACGGCGGCTACACTCCTATTTCAAAGTTCTAGAAGTTTGCGAGAAAATTTCTAATTCCCTATTATAATAACGGGAGGGTAAACAATGTCGAATTAGAAATATCTATCTATGTTATCGATACGATAAAGCGATAAAATGTCTAATCTTCGAAGAGCATTCGGCGTTTCACTTATTCATGCACACGTCACGTAGGATTCGCAAAATAATTTCTTTTCTTACACGAAAGCGAAGGAAAAGATAAGTGTATACGTATATTTTTGGTTGTGTATCTTGAAGTAGAATTTCAAGTTACACAATTCGAGTTATACGATTCGAGTTTTGCTTTTATTTCATTTTCATTTTGTCATGTTCCTTTTCATTTGACATTGTCTCACGAATTCCAATTTGCGCATCCCACGAATGCATTCAGCTGTGCTATTCTCTACTGAGCGACGCGGAACAAAGTTCAGCAAAGAGAAACACGGATGAGACAATCAATACCGGATTTACTCGAGAAGCAAAAGTGAGATCCTCTTTCGTTTCCGGAACTCGCATCGACGAAATCCGAGAATAGAGATAAATATAATTCTCGATGTGAAGAACCTCATCTCCGTCGCGTCGGAAACTTTGTCGGCGTTTTTCGCGGCATGCACGTGGTGGAAATTACTATTAGTGGAGAGGAAATAAGTAGCTCACTTGTCGGACAGCGGCGGAGTCGTGGGCGAACTCGTCTTTAGGCTCTTGAACGCTTTCAGCCATTTCAGCTTGGGACTTCCGGTCGAGCCGTTTGACATCTTCCGATTGGTCACCCCATCCGGTTGACCAGCCTCTCCGCCTCCGAAAAGTTCTTTCTGCGATTGGCAATTCATTGAAAATATTACATCTCCTCTTATGTAACACATTTTCAATAATTAAATAATATCTAATATATAATACATTCAACGTATAGTATTTCCGCGATTTTTTTTGCAGCAAGTTACAGCCAGAAAGATTAATTGTCATTATTTTCATGAAACGTAAAACGCCCTGTAAAATTTCCGATGTCGAGGAGGTTTATTTTTAGAAACATAACAAGTACAAAATCTAAAATACGAAATATCATCTCGAATATAATTAAAGTTTTAAAAATAGAAACTTTATGATCTCAAGCGCAAACGCATTGATAAAATTTCAAGTTTTATTCAATTTCATTCAACTGAACTTTAGCAGGACTTCGTCTTGGGGCAAAATTGCTAAATTAATTAATGTTAAAACTCAAAACAACTATGAATAACTATAAATTACGCGAAATTTCAGTAAGAAAATATGATTGGATTAACGAATCCGTACACAATAGCGAAGGCAATCTGGAACATTCCGAACAAATTTGTACTCTATGAACGAGAGAAGAGTCCATTATCGTTGTAAAGAATCTCTTCGAATCACGATTGTATGCTTCTTCATATATCAATTCGGATGTGTACATGTTTACACGTTTCTATGAATGAGCAAGCCTTAACAGGCACGTGATTCAGAATGAGTTTAATCTATCCAGTGGAGAGTATTATCTCCGCGACTCTCTCTCTCTCTCTCTCTCTCTCTCTCTCTCTCTCTCTCCTCCGCCATATATCACATTACACGTGCCATCTTGCGGATAACAATCCTTCCATGCAGGCTAATAAAATCACATAAGTTTTATTCCCGCGCGTATTCAGCGATTCTAACAAACATGCGCTTCGTTGCAACAAAAAACTCCAGAATTTTTCTAAATGAGTGAAATCGGTAATTGCTAATAATATCTAAATTTTAGAAAGAAGTTATTAAAAGAAAAAATGATTTATAAATCGAGAATGCGATTCTTTTGTAAGCTCCAGAATTTAAACGATAACTGCATTTTGAGTTGCATTATTGCACTTTCCGCAGGATGGATAAGCATAAGGTCTATCTTATTCTAAGAGTTTCATCTCTGTCGCAGTACGTGCTTAGCAACGCGTTAGCTTGAAAACGATTGCGTCAATACACCACCCCTGGTTGGAAATGTTTCTATGGAGATATCACTACGATCCGCCCGTTTTCAAACGTAGGGATATGTTCATTGACAATACGAGCATGTCAACTTTCATTGATCCCCGTGGTCATTCAGAATATACTCGGCCATTGTTCACTGTCGCAACATTAGCCTCTTTGTACTCGATTTCACAATGAATAACTCCTTATCCGTCTAGGAAATAACGTTCCCGCGTTCGAATAATTATTATGCAAGTTAATACATTAACATATATTTTTAATTTCCCCGTTACACGTAACACACGAATTATTAATCTCACGTCAGACTCTTTTTTTACTTTAAAATATGAATCAAACAGTCAGTAAAATATCGTCGTGTGTAAAACAGCGTCACACAGCGTTATGGACCAACGTTAATATTTTTTTACAACAATCATGGATATTGGGAGCACACTGTTAGGCACTTTTTAGAACGGCCTATTCCGTGTACTCGTCGAACGAGTCCACTGGATCATGCGGCGGCATCTTCGGTCTTGCGATCTAGCGTGCCACGAATGATGATTCACCAGAGGGGGAGGGGGGAGGGGGGAAAAAAGATACTAACGACTCGCGTGCGTAACGTGGTCCAACCCATCGTTTAGACCGGACACGACGATTCGGTATTCGTGCAGTGATGAACGGCAACGCGCGGCCAGACAGCGACGATCCTGCTCGCCTGACCTGGATAGACGGACTCTCTCTCGGCGAGGCCAGAAATGGATTTTCAGACGCTCGTGCTCGCCGATGACCCAGTTGCGAAGGCGCATGTCGCGCGATTGCGCGCGCCAGCATTTATCCGGCGTTTAGGCTAAAGCGCATCAGTGAATGACCAATCGCCGATGAATGACCACAGACGAGCCTCCCACTTAACTTTCGGAAACTTTCGGATGGCTATGGTATTCGGAATCCGCTCGCTATTTGCCTGTATAGCGCGTCAGGAAATATCCCTATGCCGCCAAATGCACGAGAAGATCGCGTCTGCGAGCACGATTTCACTATGCAGCACGCGCGGCGTAATTTTTTTCCGTTTATGCGCATGCTAAAATTTCACCTTATTAGCACCTCGCGGTTTTTAAATTTAATTCCTTTTCGGATTATGCAACAATGTTTATCTTTCCGAAATAAAATTATTTCGTTTTTCAAATCGTGTTATTTTCGCATGCAATTAATCTACTTCAGACTCTCACGCATTAACAAAATTGAATTGTACTTCCCGTGAAAAGATAAATTCAATTTGCCGACGTATTTTAACGAACGTAGGTGTGCTCGCGATATTTATAACAGTGTAGAGTAACATAGTTATTTGCAGATACAAGACCGTACTGCTATCAGTTTTCGATTTATTATATTATTATTTTATTAATTACTTGCCGGAGGCATGTAATTAATACTGATAATTTTATTATCCTTAACAATTCGCTTTCATCAATTTTGAACGGTGCAATTATCATTTTAAGTTAATAACATTCGAACAATTGAGCAGCTCTTCACTGGCGCAGTTCCTCCTTCCTGTATACTGCATGTAGATGAAGCGAGGCTCGATGCCACGCGCGATCGGACAAATTGGACGAAATGGAGGGAACGGAGATGGATGCCTGATCGATATTAGATCGTGAACATAGAGGCACTTTATAGAACTATCTATCCTAGAATTTAACCGCGGTTCCGCGTTTTTATACATTTTATTTCGCACACGTTCCTTCCGTGACGCTTATTAATATCTCGCGGGGGAGTTTTATAAAAGATATCGTATTCGAATATGTATCACGTTTTTCCCTCGTTATTTGATTTATTACTGCAATAGAAATGGAAATACAGAATTGCTGGATTACGTTTTGAAATTCGTCAAATTGTATGATAAATATGAGCTTTTTATATCCAAATGGGTAAGGTAATAGATTCGACATGTCGGAATCAGAAACGAATAAGATAATAAATGTGCGACGAACGAAACGTTTGCGTTTAATATGGCGGTAACTAAAGGAGAAAATAAAGAATAATCCCGTATATACCTGTGCTTGTACAGCGGCTAGGCGTAGTTGCGCCACACCAAGCTCGAGACGCTTCTGAGAAATATCTTCCTGTAGCTCGGCTACTTTCGTGTAAAGATTACTCTCAGCGCTCCTGCAATGGGAAGTGATAAAATAACTCTCGTCTGCGTTTTTCTTCTTAAAAGATTAAAAAAACTGACGTATTTCCATGCAACGCTACCGCGCCGATCGAAACAAGTGAGAAATTCAGCTATAAAGGTAACAAATTTTCGAAACTCTCGAGGAACAATTCTCGATTAATTCCTTTTCGTGGAACGAATAAAAAACGTACATCGTGAAAAAATACAAATACAATAATATCAAATAATAATAACATAAAATTTTTATACATATTTTCAAGCATTTGACAGAAAATTCTCACAAAATATAGAATAAAAATCCAACTAAAGTAAAAAGGAAAAATTAAAGAAATAAAGTTTATTTTTATATACACCAAAAATTAGACTTTTAAATCAAGACTATATTCTTATATATATAAGCAAGAATATTATAATCTTCATGCAAAAATAATACTACTTGCGTCAATACAAATGCAATCGAGGCTAAAATTTTTGACAAGATTATAATATTCTTGTTTATATATATGAAAATATTTATCTTGATTTAAGGCTAATCTTTTTCTGTATACAACATTATATTTTTGATTGATTGATAGATCGATACGATGTTACTCGAGTTAGCAAATATGTAGTGGCGTGAGAAATAACCATACGTACTTGCGCTGCATTCGTACGAGAGCGTCCAAAGCGTCTTGCATACGGCCTATATCCTGGGAAAGACTGTCGTACTCGCGTTTAAGATCCTCCATGAGCGGGAGGACGCTGGTGCCCGTTGGTACCAGTTCGTCCCTGAGGGTGGGTACTTGACTGATTCTTTCCATCGGTATCTGCTCGGGTGGTGCCGGCGCGACGTACAGACGTCGCGGCGGCTTCCGCGGCGTCGCGTTCGCGGACAAGTTTCGCGCCAAGGCCTTAAATGACATACACATACATTCACGTTGCATTGTCTCCTTAAACGGATTATTACGTCGCGTAGCTGAGCTGCGTTTTTTGTAATATCAAAAATAAAGTGGGGATCGAGACAGGATCGGATGGAATGAATATTCTCGAGCGAAATAACTAGCGGAATAAATTGAAAAGTGGAATGACACAATGCGCGATACATTTTGCATTTTTATTTAAAATAATGTGTCTCTCGTGTATTTAATCGCGAATCGTATATATCCCGAATTAAAAACACTAGTTTCGCGATGATCGGAAAAAGTCCCCGTCACGTCGTGTCACGTCACTGTCACGTCATGTCACTGTCATCGTTCCTTTATTAACAATCTCTTGAAAATGCGATGGAGATTGGGACGTTTAAGTGACAAATCGGTATTTCCGACGAGGGTCCGCGATCCGGCCGGACGGATTCGAGGAGGACAAATCAGTGAATACCAGCGTGTTTGGTCAGTCGAACAAGTTAACCCACCGTACGGTACACATACACACACACACACACACACACACACACACACACACACACACACGTGCACACACGTGCGCACAAGCACGGTATTCTCGAGCGGCCAATATCCTGGACGCGCCGTGGTCCCCACAGTGAATATGACCGGCTTTAATCAGGCGGTCCCTGTTTTCATTCTATCTCTCTTCTCCGAATACCGATGATTGTAATCCGCCATCAGATACCTCGCCACCCCGAAATTGGATATATGCCCGGTACGTCTATTTGCTATGCGTGATCAATACTATATGTCCGGAATACGTATAATCGTATCATTACAGGCGACGGATCTGCCCGCGATCGATCGATCGATCGATTCCGATTGACGTATCGAGCCGCAAGATTGACGGCGACGAAAGGCTCGCCGAGCGATCACGTTGCCAGCTCGAGAACCTTGGAAACCCGTGAAAGAGAGGAATAAATTGGGGACGATCGTATATTCCTTTAATTTCAATCGCCGACGATTATTTGTAATTGTAATAGATTATTGTTTCAGTGAGAAATAGCTACCGGAGTCTCTCGCGTTGCCTCTTTCGAACTTAAAATAGAAACCGTTTCCGTTTCTATTGTAACGGCACGCTCGAGAGTTCTCAGTGAAACGGAGGAAGAAAAGAAAGAGAGCATACATTCTCCATATCTCTCGTGAATCCGACGTTCACATTTCGTCGCGAGTGTGCACGGGTACCTGCAGATCGTTCGACGGTACGACCGCCTGCGCCTCCTTGGCCACGGCCTGATAACGCTTGGTCTGCTCGCCGGCTCGTTCCCCGGCCGCCTCCGAGATCCCGGCGACGCATTTGCAGGCCAGTCCGCAAAGTTCCTCGTAGACCTCGGCAATCTCGCCCAACAATCCCGGCAGACAATGGAACTGATAGCGCTCGGTAATAGCGTTCGTGGCGCGTAGCTGCAGGATGTAGGCGTTGTGCGACTCCAAGTAAGCGCGCTTCAACTCCTGCTCGGCGCCGCCACCGGCCTCGTTGGTTAGCAACGCGGCGTAGGAGCGCTTGTAATCCAATCTGGCGCGCTGCAGCTTCTCCTCCGTCTTGCTAACTACCTGCTCGTAAGCGTCGCGATGGGCAAACACCTGGGTAAAAGAAACGCGGTACGGAACGTGAGAAATCGGATGAGACGGCGCGGCGGCCTCCTCCCGCCTCCTCCCGAAAACAGACGCGATCGGATTGAAATGCCATTCGCGTAGCGCCGAAATCGAATGATCGAGGGGGGTCGCTTGGAGGGGGGGGGGGGAAACTTTACTTAGGGTAGCGTTCGCCAAACTGCGGCAAACTTGTCTTCTCCCGTGACTCGATATCTAAAGCAACGGGAAGCCACGTCACGATCGGAGTGTCTTTGAACAGTCTGGAATAGCAATTAGACTCGCGCAAAATGCTAATACTGACGACGACACATTGCCACGGTGACAAAGAAAATACTGACTAGACAGAGTCATCGTAAGCGTATTGTAACGAATTGCGAAATCAATGTTATTTAATGAAATTACTTTGAAGTATCACAAATTTCACTTGTAGATTGTAAATTAATGTAGAAAGAAATTTCGCGCGAGGGTAAGCTCACCTTCCTGGATTGCAGCTTCCGGTGGAAGCTCGCCTCTAAAGTGGGCCTCGACAATTGCTGCTGTAGCATCGCGGCCAGATCGAGGTGAGAAACTGCATCCGCCTCGACCTGCCGTAACAAGGTCTCCCAAACCCGTCGCATACCACCGACATCGATCCTCGCGTCGCTCGATCGACTGCGAAATTCGTCAACCAGACGTCGTATGTTCGCCGAGTGGCTCTCCATCGCGACGCCCAACTCCTGGGCGAACTCGGACACTGTTCTCGCGAAACACACAAGAGAAAGCGTTAAACAATTGGTAATTCAGAAAATAATTTGTATTTGTATATGATATAGAGCGAACAGCTGTTTCAATTGAATGAGATGAACCGTAAAGATTAACTCTTTGAAGCGGTAATTCTGCCTTTGTAATAAATTAGTAATCAAATAAATTAATAGTTAATATCATCAAAATGATGCACGAAATAAATTATAAAAGGATATGAAATGTGAATTTTTAAAACATCCCTATCATATTATGCATTTTGTTAAGGAAACTTAAATATAAAGATATATTTTATATATTAAATATTATACAATATATTACACAATAATTTTTATTAAAAGTTTACAAAAATTAAATAATATTAAATTATTGCCGATTTTATGTAAACAATTTATTTTTAATTTTAAACAATTATTTCTTAAACAATTATTTCTTAAACTTTGAGGTATCTCGAACTGATGACCGAAGGATGAATGACTTAGACGGAAGTTAGAATTCCGATTCGAGGTAAAAAATATCTGTTTTGGCAAACCGCCAACGGAACCTCGTAACTTTCACGACGGTAAATTCGAGGCGCGATTTTCGCAACGACGCGGTTGCCGCTCTTTACTATCTACGTCGATTCGATTTGCTTGTCAAAGACACTTTTGTAGTTTCGATAATCGGTACCGACATCTTATCGGGGAGAAAGAGAAACTTGACGGTCAAAAGTAAAATTGCGTCCCCTTGCGTCTTTCCACCTTCGGTGGAAATCGGCTCTAGTAAACGTTATTTTGGACGTATCTAGAATGGCATTCGGTCGTGCGGAATTCAATATTCTCGCCGTCTTATCCAATACTCGTGCGGAGAACTTTGAAATATCCTTTTATGGGTGACCCGAATGACCTCCTCGCAGCCGAGAATTGGGACGGAGTGGATCGTCAAAGCGTGTAGGATCCTCTCTCAGGTCGTTATCACACACTATCGTCGTGATAGCGTGGCTCTTTGTCGCATCTCTGCTTCCTGATGCGGCTTATTTCCTCGCTTTGATGAATAACATCGCCTCTTCATCGACGTCGTTGGAATCTTGCATTTTGAAAAGGATGGCAAAATGTAATTTATTATGGAACTGCGTGGGGCATAATGAGGAAACTAAGTCTCTTGCGAACTTTTTTCTTAACTAAATCGTGGCTGTGCAGTAAGCATTTCTTTTTCCTATTTTATAGCGGTAAGATAACTTAAGTATTCGCATTATTTTAACATTATTGTATTAATTATATTCATATTTAATTTACGTATTCATATATTCATATATTCATATTATGCTGATTATTATTGATTGGTAATATAAATCCGATATTAACAGTTTCTATTTAAAATATACTTTAAAATATTGAAATTATTAACTCAGATGAAAATATATAATTGAAATTTATACGATTATTAATGAAACTACTATCATAAATGTAATATTAACAATTGAAAACTCTCGTATTAAGGCAGTTTATATTTTTATAAAAATATTTTTTTTAAAACAACAATGATGCAAGTCTTTGTTGCTATTTAAATATCTTAAAGTATTTTTAATAATATTGTAATAATTTTTGAAGATTTTTATATATTTGTGATGGTTGTTATATGACAAATGTGACAAAGTAGCTTGCACAGTTACCTAAAAAAATATCTTAGTGATGGAAAGCACATTATCGTTACTTGCGATACATCTTCGTCTACACGTCATCATTATTTTGACAAGGGGAATTGGTGAGAAATATATCTTTTTTTTTTGCTGACACAGATGAATGTGTCAAGTGTCAGGGCTTACACGTGCGTAGATTCTAATAAAAAATTATATTATTTTTCGGAACAGCACACAATGTCTAAAAGATGATTATGCATAGTTGAAATGTTATTATAAAAGATTTGTACAAATTTATTAATATCGAGCATTTTTCATCTTCATTTCTTATTTGTCAAATAAGTTTTACAAGTTACGGTGATAAAAGCAGCAGATACATACATGAATAAATTATCCGATGCGTACAAGAAAAATAATCGGATTTAAAAATAATCTCAAACATACATATCATTTTAATTAAAAAAAAAAAAGATAAAGTTGCTCGAGACAACTTCTCTGTACCGTTTTACATTTTGCCTACGGTGACAAGAGAGGAGTCAAAAGTATGTATCGGAGTTTTTACAAACGACAATCTCGATCAATGAAAATACGTCAACGGAAATAAAAAGCGTGTCCTGTGCGCAAATACATACCTAATGGGAAACAGAACGAGACGGAGAGATACGATATGAATACGGTTGTTCAAATAATGACTTATCTGTATCTCCGCTCGCGCGTTAATTCGATATCCGATAATAATTTCGCGGCGAAAGTTTGCGATAAATTCGTGACGAAAAACGGGAGCGCGGAGGATAGGAATCCATGCCAGGCCGGCGAGCCAGCCAGCCGTCGGCTGGCTGTTAGCTCGCAGCTCGGCGAATATCGTTTTTCCTCATCAAACAACTCAAACAGGCGGAGGGAAGGCCCTCGACTGGGTGGCATTATTTTTCGAACCGGGCCAAGATAACCCGGGGATCCAATAAGGTGAGCCGAGCCGAACTCCCGCGCTGCCAGGGTTACCTAGCGCCAGGTAATCCGACCCGTTTTTGTGAGCATTTCTCTCGTTTGGCTTTCGTCGTAGACATTGTTATTAAATGTTTCTCGTTCGAGATCGATATTTCGATGTACAAGCGAGAAATAAACAGGAATTTTTGAGATAAAATCAAGCGCCTGAGGTATTATCTCTCGAAATCGGTGCGATAAACTTCTCACGATAACATTAACGTTGCGCAAAAATTGATTGCTGTATGTAATGATAATAGTTGTACACAAAAGTACTGAATAAATAAGTGGCAATGTAAAGATGAGAATCAAATGCTAAAAAGAAAATTAAAATACCAAAAGAGGGGGTAGACACTTATAATAAGTAATTGAAGTTTGTTATCTTTATTTAATGATTTCCAGGAAATTAGCAACTAAATACGGCAACGAGTTAATCTCACGGTTAATCTCAATATCGTGAGATCGTTCTCATCATTTTCATCAAAAATATTTTATATAATCTCTCTCTTCTAAGAGAGCTTTCCGTTAATATCAACTTCAATTTCACTTAACACAGAATCTCAACTCGTTATCAAGATGTTTCACGTTGAAACTTCAGAAACTTGAGAGAACGAGACGGCGTATAAAGAAATTATCGTAGAGGCAGGGTCGTATTGCGTAATTTTCGAATAACGTCGCGTGCATTAAATGTATCACGTATTAATAAACGAGTACATCCTGCTTATGCAGCTATGCAAATGTATGTTTGCACGTCAAGTTGCGTCACGTTGCATCATGCGTGCCGTGCCATATCGAGAACAAATCCGTTGGAATTATGATGAAACGAGGTATCGATCTCGTTACCGTCGGGGCACCGTCGATGGTGATTTAAGCGATCAGAGCGATGGGAAGAGGGTGCCTTACACGCGTGCAATGTCGCCCCTCATTAAGACATTTGCATTAGCCTAAGCTATCCCTCCCCCGCCCCCGTTCCGGAAATTACCGTTTTGGGGGAAAAGCCGAGATCTCGCGCATAATACGCAATTTGTTCGCTGATCTCTTGCGTTAGCGGATTACATTAGCGCCCTGGAGATCGCTTAATCGTTTAATCATCTCGCTCATGAAAGCCTGCCCGTCCCGAAGGAACTTTGCGTGACGCATGCATAATGTGAGAATCGGAACATTTTCAGTCCAAACTTCAGTCACTTATCAACGAATTTACCTTGGAACTGATTTATAGCGTTACGTAGAATACTGAAACTTATACACGCGAAAAGTTTTGCTACAGATACAGATTTGAGAAATAATTTTCTTCGGCCATCAAAATAATTATAGCATGTTCAAGTTAGTTGCTAGAATATAAAAAAAATTTTGCGGTATTGTCATGATATTTAAATGGCAAAATTTTCAGATCTGTCCAAATTTTTAGATCCTATAACAGAATTGTTCTTTCTGTATAATAATGCTTATTTTATATTTTATAAAACATATTAAAAAAAAAATGTGTGTATTGGTACACACATGACGTAATTTTAATTCAAATTCGATTTTTCGTGTAATCTTCGCTACTAAAATGAATTGAATATTTCTGAAAATGTGACGACTATTTTAAGTTAAATTGTGTACAGCATATTTTGTACCTCTGTACCTTCTTACACACGAAATCATTATATCGTATAGCAATTTAACTTGTCTTTATTTACTTGGAAATTAATGTATGTAGTCGTATGTTACGTGATATTGAGATGTGTAATACTATCGATCATTTACATTCATACGATATATTAGTATAATTGATATAATATTATACAGTATTACGTTACGTAATATTGGTTTCCATCGAAATCAGCCTCGTGGAATAGCTCCGTTATACATATGCATCCCGTGAGATTATTGAGAGAACACATATACAGTTACATATCGTGTAACGCATGAGTACACGTTTTGTTGTAAATATTCATTGCAATCTGAATTCCGCAGATAAATTTAAGAATCCCTCTTAACAATGTATCAACCCGTTTGAACGCGCGTACCTCTTACGCTCGTAAATGTGGTACGAGCAAAATGAGCGTCGTGTGTAGAGCGGTGTCGTTTTTCCTTAACACGATTTCGCGTTTGTGTCACTCGATTGAGATCAGAGTCGCCTCGTTGTCGTTGTCGTCATCGTCATCTGAACTCGACGCATTTCCCACTTTGACCCCTTTGTTTCCCCTCGCACGCCTCGAACTTTCCGGTATTATAGCTTGGCGTCATGGCGAAATGTAGCGCGTAGCGAAATAATTTAGCGAGCTAAGAAAACATCCGCAGAAATGAGATATTTTCTCTTTGCAGAAAGACTTTCCGAGCTCTTTCTCTCTTCGTCGTCGGAAAAATATGCGAGTTGGCGCCACATTGTGCGCCACGCTATTTCCACT